TCTTTCCAATATTTCAAGCTGTAGTGATGAATGACCAAGTCCTCTAATGTTTCTTTTAAATAAAGTATGTATTGAGTATGTTGAACAAATGGCAAGAGTGTAATTACATTGTCCTCCCTACGTAAAATGGTTTTTCAAAGAACCAATCTATTATTAATACAGTGTCTTATCTTGGAGAATAGTGCATTAAGGGCAGTACTAAGCAATGAATGTTTTCTTTGAAGTTTACAGAGGAATTGGAATTATTAAATGGTGTCCTTTTTTCTCCTTTTAAAGTCATGTAGAGCACGTGGTCAGTTTTTACCAAAGAGTCTCTGTGTGTGTGTGATGTTTGCAGAACCTTGTTAGCAATGAAATTCACTCACAAGGAAATCTTGGAAATGTGTTTAATGCTAGATTACTACTATAGAGCAGTTATGAATGAAGAATCCCTGTAAAACCTTTACCTGTCCGAATGTATCTCCCCTTATGATCCAGTGTGACAATTAAGATCTTCTGGGGAGGCCCTGCTCTCGGTCCTGCCCTCATCGCATGTGCGGTTGGCGGGGACGAGAGACAGGGCCTTCTTGGTGGAAGCCCCCCGGCTATGGAACTCCTTCACCAGTGACATCAGAACAGCCCCCTCGCTCTTAAACTTTAGGAAGAATCTTAAGACCTGCCTATTTAAGCAAGCCTTTGGAGATTAATATGACCCATAAGTATGATTTATTTATTCATTTATTAGGAGCATTTCTATCCCGTCCTTCTCGCCTCCAAAGAGGGACTCAGGCCAGCTACCAACAGGCACCATTCAGTGCTGAACAATAAAAACAAAGCATAATATACATTTAGCATACATTAAAACAATTATAACAATTATAAAGTATGACGGAAGAATGGCAAAGTTTAGACGGCTCGGTTGGTGCTAGACTTTTGATATGTTTGATATGTTTTAATCATTTGAAATACTTTTTAAATTGATATGTGTATGTCCTCTACAGTTCTATAATATTGTGTTTTACTGATGTTGTTATTCTCTGAATCTAGCATTAAATTATTGCCATAGTTTGTAAGCCGCCCTGAGTCCCCCTTTGGGGGTGAGAAGGGCGGGTTATAAGTACAGTAAATAAATAAATAACAAATAAGAAAACAAGGGCAAGTTCTCAGTTCAAAAACCCCCCAAAACCCCACGCCCTCAACTGCCAAAAGTTCCTCCATGTAGCCTTCAGGCCTTCCAGTCTGAGCCAGTTCGTCTTATCAGGCTCTTTCTCATGCAGGGTCAGGTGTTTTCACATTGTTTTCATTCTTCATCCTTGGCTGTGAACTCATGGCATGGAGATGTTGTGGTGTCTTGAACACGCCAGATATGGAGTGTGTTGAGAGAAGATCTAGAAGTTTTCTTTCTATCCTTGATTTTGTCCTCCATGTGTTTAGCTGATGCTACAATAGTTCCCACTGATATGTGCATATTTAGGCAAAGGTAGAGGAAGAAGGTTATTTCATTGAGTATTCTAAATTCTTTTCATATTGTTGTTGTTGTTCATTCATTCAGTCGTCTCCGACTCTTCGTGACCTCATGGACCAGCCCACGCCAGAGCTCCCTGTCGGCCGTCTCCACCCCCAGCTCCTTCAAGGTCAGTCCAGTCACTTCAAGGATGCCATCCATCCATCTTGCCCTTGGTCGGCCCCTCTTCCTTTTGCCTTCCACTTTCCCCAGCATAATTGTCTTCTCTAGGCTTTGCTGTCTCCTCATGATGTGGCCAAAGTACTTCAACTTTGTCTCTAGTATCCTTCCCCCAGTGAGCAGTCGGGCTTTATTTCCTGGAGGATGGACTGGTTGGATCTTCTCGCAGTCCAAGACACTCTCAGCACTTTCCTCCAACACCACAGCTCAAAAGCATCTATCTTCCTTCGCTCAGCCTTCCCTAAGGTCCAGCTCTCACATCTTTTCATATTAGTGATGGAAATAAGTGGACATTTTGAAAACTGAATGTGAGAATGTGAGACTCTTAGGTTCATCTGTGGAAGTTCAGAACTTCGAGTGCTTAGCTCTTAAAAGACCGCTTCTAGATCTCTGTATATTCAACTCTGTTAGTGCTCTGTTAGTTCAAAGCATTCCTCCCCCTTTTGGAGACTCTTTCTCTAAGAAGTGCATGGTAGACAGTAGGGCTGGGCGGTTTCATTTCGTAATTCGTTAAAAATTCGTTATTTTTTTTATAACGAAGCGATAACGAACCATTCAGGAGCATCTAAAAAACGAAACGAATTTTTAAATTCGTTTCGTAATTGCTTCGGATTCGTTTTGTATTCGTTTCGTTATCGTTTTGAAATCGTTTTGTTATTATTTCCGCATGTCTGGGGCAAGTTTTATAGTTGTTGTTTGTTTAATCAGTGAAAAAAAATTATAAATATCACACCAACAGTCAACAACAGAGGGAGAGGGAAGCTTCAGAAGTTCCCCCTGTCCCATTTGGAGGTTTTTTAGCGTATTGCGCGGTCGCGTCCGCCATTAACGAATCGATTCATAATTGTTTCGTAATTGTTTCGTAATTATTTTACGAATTATGAAATTTCGTAAATATCGAACTTTTTTACAGAAAAAATTCGGAATTCTTTTAAAAATCGAAACACAAAAACCCCCAAAAAACGAATCGATTTTAGAAACAAATTTTTCCGTTGTTACAGTTACCCAATTTTGGAGACATATACCAAACTGAAAGCTGAACAGGGTCATGTACTTGCTGAAACTTTGCCAGCTGTGTGTGTAACCATAAAGGTACAAGAGTTCTTTTTAAACTGAGTATGTGAAACTGGGCCCCTTGTTGGTGCAGCAGGTTAAACTACTGAGTTGCTGAACTTGCTGACTGAAAGGTTGGCAGTTGGAATCCGGGGAATGGGGTGAGCTCCCACTGTTAGCCCCAGCTTCTGCTAATCTAGCAGTTCAAAAACATGAAAAAGTGAGTAGATCAATTAGGTACCACTTCTGCGGGAAGATAACGGTGCTCCATGCAGTCATGCTGGCCATGTGACTTTGGTGTCTATGGACTCAGCTTAGAAATGGAGATGAGCCCCACCCACCAGAGTCAGACACAACTAGATTTAATGTCAGGGGAAATCTTTACCTTTACTTTTATGTGAAATTGACGTAATTTGCTATAATTTTTTTTTAATGTTAAAATGTGTATCTCCTTCTTCCCCGACATAGAATTGAAACACTTGTTTTTCCAGGTCTGAATATGGGTCTAGCAGAAAAATGGTGACTAGTCCAGTGGGTTTTATAGCTAGATTGGAACCTGCATTGGCATTATAAATGTGTGTCAACTTTGCCTGCAGTGTGCAAAGGAATATCATGCTTTCTTTCTTGTTCCATTTTTGCTATGTAGTTCTTGGAAGCCTTGTATCTTTCGCCCATCTGGCACCAAAGATATAATGAGAGCTCTCAGAGCAGTTTGTTACCTTGGGTGCCTAAGGGTGATACAGGACTAACTCAAACTACATTTTCTTCCTGAGGGTTCTTTTCAGAGCCTGCAATTCATCTAAGCAGTGGTCCCCACACAGCTGTTCTGAGACTTTGGGCATGCCATGCCCCTTACCCATGATTTTCTCTATTATTCACATGATGAGGAAAGCTAGGCAAACAAATTATGTAAGAATAGGAGCCTAGGCTCTGCTAGAATCAGCAGCTGTTTGGAAAAGGACCAGGGGAATTTATACCATCTCTGGCCTCTTACTGTGGGCTATGTTCTCCATCTGCTCTCGAATTCTGCAAGCTGATTTAGACTGCGGCATTGCTGATGTTTGCTTCTAGGCTGGATGCATAGGAAAGGATGAAAACAAGACTGTTTGGATGTGTTTGAGTTTGTTAACCCTTTTTATAGACTAGTACTTTGGAAGCCATCCCTGCATCTGTCCTCAAGTAGAAAATGCATGCTAAACCAGCAGCAAAATATTTTATAAAATTTCAGCATTTTTAAAGGATGTGGTACCCTTGGTTTTTTGCAGAGTATAGCTATGCTTGATTTAAATGCATGTCCATGAAAGACTTTTAAATGGAATGTGATGCCCTCAGATATGAAGAAAGATCATAGTCTGCTGGTAAAGCATACATGCTTTGCAGGCAGGTCTCAAGTTCAGTTGCTGGCATTTTCAAGTAAAGAATCTATTCCTGGCATATTACCAGCTTGGAAAATCTTCTCACTGAAGAACAGGAGAGCAGCTGACTTTGCCTTCCACAACCTGGCCTTTTTCAGATGTGGCGGCCCAAAATGCCTGTAATCCCATTTTTCATATTACTTTAAGATTAAGAGAGTTGTAAACCAGTACGAATAAAAGACATCATGCAGGGGAAGACTAGTGCATAGATTAACAGAGAATTTAAAGGTTTTCCCCTGACATTAAGTCCATTTGTGTCTGACTTTGGGGGCTGGCGCTCATCTCCATTTCTAAGCTGAAGAGCCAGCATTGTCCATAGACACCTCCAAGGTCATGTGGCCAGCATGACTGCAGGGAGCACCATTACCTTCCCACCGGAGCAGTACCTATTGACCTACTCCGGTTTGCATGTTTTCGAACTGCTAGGTTGGCAGAAGCTTGGGCTAACAGCAGGAGTTCACCCCGCTCCCTGGATTAGAACCGCCAACCTTTCAATCAGCAAGTTCAGCAGCTCAGCAGTTTAATGCACTGTGCCAAATCACTTTAAGGCATTTTTCTATGTTTCTAATGCTACATTCATGACATAAAGCTATATTTAACAAGCAAGCTAAGATGACAACAAAATCAAAGGAAAGGAGGAGAAAATGCCATGTGAGAGAAATTCTGATCAAAGTGTATCTTCAGGGAGAAAATATGACAAAAAAATGGAGAGAACTTCAATGAGACTTTTACAATTGACTGTGGGAAGCCCCATTGACCCTTCCTCTACTGTTGTCATATGGTCCCCTTGAAAAAGAACCATTGTCCAAAATCATGTCAAATGTGTTTCATGTATTTCTCATCTATTTTTTTTCACACTTTTACTCCAGGTACCGTAATATGATACCATCAAACTAAAGGAAGAGACCTGTTATATGAGATCAGCAATTATCATCTAATGAGTTCTTTCCTACCATAGCTACTCAAATGCTTCTGAGATGTCCACAAGCAAGGTATGTTGAAAATGGATCTCCCTTATTGTTTTCTCTCTATAAATTGTATTTACAATTGACATAGGCTCCAAAAAATTAATGGGATTAATTTGACATAATTTCAGTTTTAAGATTTATTTATTTATTTATTTATTTCGGACATTTGTATCCTGTCCTATCTCAACCTCCGCAGAGGGACTCAGGGCGGCTAACAAACTGGCACCCCATGGTGCCCACAACCAAAACATAAATATGCAATTTAAATAACAATATAGCAATAAAACAGTAAAAACAGTATAAAGAGAATTAAGCAAGAACAATAATAATTTCAATAATAAGATCCTAGATTTTTCAACCGTCTCCCTCACCAGGGATTATACAGCCTGAGGGCAAACAGAAATAATATCCTCCCAGCAATGCCTAACCAGTGTGACTCTAAGGGACAACCAGGATGATTTTAAAACCTAGAATGTGGCTTTTTGAATAGTGAAGACAATGTTGTATAGGTCTGAACCTGCACTTTGAATTGTACCTGGAAATAGCCCATTAAGTACTAAAGTTCTCATAACAAGAGTGCCATACACTTCCTGTAACTGGTACTAATCAGCAGTCTACCCACAACATTATGGACCAGCTAAAGTATCAAAACAATTTTCCAAGAATGACCTGAATCGACTCAACCCTCAGATTTTTTTAGTTGACCCAATTTTAATATTATGAAGCAGGAGCTGGGCTTTGAATAGCTCACAATTTCTCTGTATTTCAGTAGTGACCTAAAGAGAAAATTGGATCCAAAACAGAGAGAAAAACCTGGATATCCTTTGTCTGAACAAAATTGGGATATTAAATAGAAATGATGGATGAAATATTGGTAAATAGATAGTTTTCTCACAAGGATACTTTCTTTTTTCATGTAGGTTGTTAGAATAGAAATTACCATAGTTTAGGAGCCCCCAGTTAAACCACTGAGCTGATGAACTTGCTGATCAAAAGGTTGCAGGTTTGAATCCAGAGAGCAGAGAGAGCTCCTGCAGTTAGCTCCAGCTTCTGCCAACTTGGCAGTTTGAGAACAAGCAAATGTTAGTAGATCAATAGGTA